TGTTGTCATAATTCGAACTTTAAATGCTTAAAAAAAATTGTAAATAAGTATTTTAATATTTTTCGACTGCAATTTTAACAATATATCAGGAGATTTGTATTAAATTTCTACTCTTTTTGGGCCAGCAAATAAAGTTTTATTGAAATTTATAAAAAATAATTATAAAAACTATGCATAAACAGCTCAAAATGTAATTTTCAAAATGTTATGGTGTATAGAAAATGGTATCCCGTCATTTCGTCTCGGTAATGTTGTCGCACGTCAATTGGTCCCAAGACAATTTCACGCATACGACATTTTGTCGCGTGCAATATCGACGCATGCTACATTTGGTTAGGTTAGAACTTGAATGTTATAATATTTTAACGCATATATTTATATAGGTATATAGCTAGTATTAGATAAAATAGATTATCTACAGTGTCTTTTTTTTTTATAACATTTAATAATATAATATACATAATAATTCTATCGTATCTTTACAATTCAGTGGTAGTGGTGTAGCATCTTCTTTTTACTCAAGTCTTTATCGAATATTCGAATTATTACAGTGTACCTACTCAACAGTCATCACGAGTCTCTACTCTCTATCGATTATAGTGTTATACAGTACCACCTATACACGTCTACGTATATATACGTCTTGCTTGGTCCACGCAATTTAACAATTATTATATATTTTACAAAATATAAAAATTATGCATTTACAATTCATAAAAAGTCAACGAGGGCATGATCTTTTAATTCGTTATGGTTTTATTCATAAAAGTGAAAGAACTTTTGGCGAAAAAGTTATTTGGAGATGTAACGAGTCTAAAAATTGTACTGGCCACGCTCATACAATGCAAGGTAAAATTTTTAATTTCTTAGTGTAGGTTCTTTAATGTAAAAAACTTTACGTTCCGAAAGAAATTGCATAATATTATTTTTCTAATCCGAGATTCGAACTCGATATACGCTCTTATCATACGATAGTTAGTCGATAGATATATGATAGCAAGGAAAACAAAGACATAAAATGTGGTACTTCATTGCAGACTCGTGTTTTTTTTAAATATGTTGATTATTAGTATATTACAACTTTTTTTTTCTTTTTTAGAGTTAAGTTTAAGATATTGTACTATTGTTATTAATTTCTGTTTCCTATGATATAAACATTGTATTTGTGTGAAACATATAGGCCTTTTTTTTAATAAACGGCTATAGTTATTTAATAATAAAACGATAGTTAAAAAAAAACATAGATTTTACTATCATGTATTTTCTTAGTAAAAAATACTTTGTAATTTAAGAAGACATCTACCTGCATATGCTGTCAATGTCTTACTAAATATGTACAACATAGCAAAAACTGTTGTGTGCGGGACATTTTACTCCCTTTGTATTTATTAGAATTACCATTTGACAACATTTGACAACTCATAGAGAAGAACTTTATATGTGGCGTAGTGTTTTCACTTTATTTATGGCACTAACCAATAGTTTTTAATAATTAAATGAAAAAAAAAAACTGACAACTTTAAATGTTATCCTAATAACTACAAATACAGAGGCAGGAAAATTGTCCAGCGCAAAACAGTTTTTGATGTTGTGCATTTGTAAGACGGAGACAACACATGAAGGTGTGATGTGCTCTTTACATAAAGATTAACTAAATTATTCAAAAGTACCTACTTTGTTGGTTAGTATTTTTGAAGCTATAAAATTATGCATAATACTATAAATATTTAATTTGAATTTGAATTAAGTACCCACTTTTCAATTACGTTATACACATTTCACATTTCGTACTACACAAATTGAGCTGCTATGTATACACAATAGTCGATGATAGAATGACCATGTTACATTATAATTCACAAAAACAATAATGATGTGTGTGTATGTTTGTGTGTGTGAGTGTCTAAATATTCGAGGCAGATTTTCGATATTTACTATATTTCGATTTATAATATTATAAAGTAATAATGGGTGAAATCTGCATTACAATTTTTACTACCTGACTACTGTGGGCGATACATACAAGGAAAAAAATCCCTTAACTTAAACCAAGTTCAACAGTAACCACGAAATATACGCCATCGAGATGTAACTTCGAATTCCTAGTTAGTTGTCAAAATCGTTCATAACATTAGATCTAGACACTGTTCAAAGTGTTCAAACACTATGAGTGGTTAACATTTCGTTCGAGATTGAACTTCAATTTCTAGATGATTATATTTAATAACACAGAAAATACACATTGAAGTATTCAACAAAAATAATATAATTTATAATAAAAACTCCAAATAATATACGTAAATATAATATTAAATACAACATTTTGTACACATCATTTTTTATCTGTATTCAACCGACATATTATACAAAATATAAAACAATAAAAATACAGAAAATAATATTCATTCAAGTCACTTCGTGTAAATAGAATGACATTTATTGCATATGTATAGGTACGTGACGCTCAATAGTGGTTATTATTAAAGCATATAATTATAATATGATACAATTATTATTACATTTTGAAATGCAATTCGTAATAACTACAAAAATCTCATTTATTATTATGAGATAATGTTTTTATATGAATAACTAAAAAAAGAAAAGAAACAAGGTCATCATTTTTAATTTTACACCTCATCTCGTCTCAATCAGCCAAGCACGATGTGCGAACTAAAATATAAAATAGCATACCTAAATAATATAACATAATATAATAATTAATAATATAGAATAAAATAATATATTATGGCATACATTTGACGACTAGAATACTATACACATTTTAAAAAACGAAGGATGATGGGTGAAATTTACAATTTACATTACTATTTACTATACCTGTTCGTTCAAACTGAAATATACTAACACCCACGAAAAAAATCCCTAACCGCTGTTAAAGTCTCGATATTTTTTAGTGTACCTATTCAATAAAATAACCCGATCAATATGTAACTTTGACTGACCAATTAGCTGTCAAAAAAAATTGTTCATAACATTATGACACTTTCATACCCTAAATTATAATATTTTTTCTAGATTCAATTTAGATATTATTATAATTCATAATTATTAATATAATATATATATATATATCTTAAAATTATCTTATAATACTCATACACAATATTTATGAATACTTGAATATCTGCTGTATGTTTCATCCCACTGACGTTTGACCACCGCATTTTTAGTGTGCTTTGATGTTTTCGAAGACTTAGGAGAAGGTCCCGAAGAAGACTTAATAGAAGACTTCGAAGTGGACATGTCGTTGATAGTCTAAAACAAAACAATGAAGTCGTATTTAATTCTAACAATTAATTATATTAATTTTTAACATAAATTTCTTTTAATTTTGGTTAAATACTAATTATTGATGTACCTATATTGTAAATACTAGATTTTTTTTATAACTATATATCAGGGGTAGCCAAACCGAGGCTCGCGTAATAGACTTATGGGGCTGGCGTCTTATCGTGAAATTATACAAAGCATTACTAGAAGAAATCATTTTTATATGAATTTATATATTTGAAGAAGTCTAAAATTTATTGAATTACAATTTATAGAAAAAATTTAAAAAAAATATAGTGTTTTTGATATACGAAATCGTAATATTTTAAAATGTATTTTTTTTTTTTTATTATTTAATTTGTTGCCTGTTTGGTGTAAATTTTTTTTGTAAGTTTTTTGATGTCAGGATTATACATTGTCAACGCAGTCCTTAACGATTTCGTTAAACGATCATGCGTTAAAGTTGAGAGATATTTATCTAAATCATTTTCATTATCAATTAAATAAGGACTCGCAAGAATAATATGTTGTTTCGAAATTCGATATAAATTTTTGAGAGCAAAGATTTATTTTTTGTTATTTATAAACGGGCACATGTTTTTAAAATTCCAACAAAGAATGACAACTTTATTTGAAGTGCTTCAGTCCTTCATCTTCCAATAATTCTAGGAGTTAAGTTTCAAGTACCCACGAATAATATTATTAAATCACAACAAAATAACTAAAATAGTTATTCTAGGTTTTTTAATGGCTCATAACATTTTTAGATGTGAAAAGAGAAAGTATGTTCAAAATGTAATACGGGAGGCAGAAGAAGATTACAGGTCACACAATACACGGCAGCTATATCACAAGGTAAATAGTTTTAAAGGCGGATATAGAAGACAAGAAAAATATCTGAAAAAGGACGATGGAAGCCTAGTGACGATTCAGGAAAAAATAATGGAGAAATGGGCAGAGTACTTTTAAAAGCTACTCAATTGTGAAGTACCAGTTGATACATTTACATATGGACACAACGAACCCAATGATGATCCCTGCCCACCCCCATCAAAGGAAGAAATCGAACAACAGATAAAAAGGCTCAAAAACCACAAGTCACCCGGGGAAGATGACCTTCCAGGGGAAATTCTAAAGCATGCGGACAGATCCATGATAGAAAGTATATACTTGTTGATAAAAGAAGTGTGGGAGACGGAAATTATACCGATAGATTGGGGAGTAGCATACATATGCCCAATACACAAAAAAGGCGACAAGCAAGTCTGTAGTAACTATAGAGGAATAGCGTTGCTAGATACAACATATAAGGTATTATCATATTGCATCCTAGATAGAATCAAACCTCTGGCTGAACAAGAGGTGGGGGACTATCAATGTGGATTCAGGCAAAATAGGTCAACGACAGATCAGATATTTATAATCAGGCAGTTATTCCAGAAAAGCTGGGAATATAATAAGGAACTCCATGTTATCTTCGTTGATTTTCAAAAGGCGTATGACAGTATAGATAGAACTAGCATAACCGAATTTCTGAAAAATTTCCATTTCCCAATAAAAATAGTACAATTAGTTGAAGCTAGTATAAGACAAACTAAAGTCAAAATCAAAGTAGGAAACGCGACATCAAGGATGGCGGAGGTAAGAACCGACTTAGACAGGGGGATGCCTTGTCGCCAGTACTCTTTAATTTAGTATTAGAGAAAATGATCCGAGAAATAAATATTGGAAGAGATGAAGGAGTAAGAATGGATAGAACTTGCTTTAGTCTGCTCGCCTATGCAGACGATATAGTCTTGCTAGGAGAAGATGAACAAAAAGTGGTAGATTTATGCGGCAGGTTAATAGAATCGGCAAAGAAGGTAGGGCTACATCTCAACATAGAGAAAACGCAGTACATGAAAGTTAGTAGGGAACTAGATAACCTTCAGGAAACCGAAACCATAACAGTTGGCCAGCACGAGTTCAAAAAAGTAGAAGATTTCAAATACCTGGGCACGATCGTAACACAGAAGAATGAATGTCAAATTGAAATTCAACAAAGAATAAAAATAGGAAATAAATGCTTCTATGCACTAGGCAAACTACTAAGCTCGAAAATCCTGTCAAAAGAGGTTAAAACTCAGCTGTATTTGACAATCATACGGCCAATGGTCATCTATGGTTAACAATGTTGGACGTTACGAAAGACTGAGGATTAAAGATTAGCAGTTTTTGAGAGGAAGGTACTTCGTAAAATATATGGACCTATATATGATCAAGAGCTTCAAGGATAGAGAAAAATACATAATCAAGAACTGACGTAGCTTTTCAATAGACCAAATATTATAAACGAGATCAAACGGAGTAAGTTGGAATGGGCAGGACACGCAGTTAGGAAGCAATATTCAATGGTTCAAAGGGTACTCCAAGAAAACCCAAAGAGAAAAAGACCACTGGGTAGACCAAGGCAACGCTGGGAAGATGGAATTAAAAAAGATTTTCTAAGTGCTGGTGGAGCGGAATATGATCACATGGACTGGAAGGAAGTAGCTGAGAATAGAGAAGAATGGGAAAGAACTTGTTCTATGGCAAGATGGTCTCAAAGGCCTTAATAAAAAAAAAAAAAAAAATTATAATAAATTCCAAATTAATCATATCACAATATCCATTAGGTACTTATAAGCGTTATACATCAACAACAAAACATGATACTATCATAGATATACAATAGTACACTTTAGAAGTTTCAAGTACCCACGAATAATATTATACAATCACAACAAAATAACTAAAATAGTTATTCTAGGTTTTTTAATATATAATTTTGTCCAAATATAAATTTAAAATGTCTGTAAAAAATAACTGTGCTCATATAATTTTTTAGATTTTTTGGCTACAGTATGAACTATTTATGAGAATCTTTTTTTTAATTTTCAATCCTTAGCTATAAAAACTGAACATTTTATAATTTATTAATTACGATGATTGATAATTTTTGAGATTTTGATAAATTTTGTCAAAATGCGATCTTTAAATGCTTATAAAAAAAAATTGTATGTACAATTTGTAAAATATAAATTTTTAATATTTTTTAATTGCTATTGTAACAATATATCAGGAGCCTTGTATTAATTTTTTACACTTTTTGGCCCAACAGATAAAACTTAATTGATATTTAGAGAAAAAAAAAACTAAAAAAATTGAAAACTGAAAATGTCCGTAAAAGGCTCAAAAAGTTTTAAAATATTTTCAAAATTATATGGTTTTCAAATTTTCATGTATCTACAGTAATTCGTTTTTGAATTACAACAAAATAAGGAAATCACCACATGAGAAATCGAGTGAATATCCAATGTTGTAAAAATTTGAATTTCAAACGCTCATAAAAATTTAATTTGACTTTCTTATAGAATTTTTTTTTTTGATAAATGTAGGAAATCTTATATTACATTATCATATCTTAGATTTAAACAGAAAATTTTTTATGAATTTCTAACTCGAAATAATTTGCAAATTTTCGTGATTTTTCCATATTTTGTCATTTTTTGAACTTTAAATGCTTAAAAAAAAAAAAACTGTGATTACCGATTTTTAATATTTTTCATCTGTCTTTGAAACAATATAGTATTAGCCTTGTATTAAATTTTCAAGTATTTTTACTCAACAAATAAATTTTTATTGATATTCATAAAAAAAAACTAATAAAATTGGAAACTGAAAATGTCCCTAAACAGTTCAAAATAAATCAAAATATTTTGAAAATGTTATCGTGTATAGAAAATGCAAATATAAACAACCACTGAAAATGTCATGTATCTACGGTAATTTGTTTACACCAAAATCCAAAATCGATTTTCTAGAAAACAGATTTTGCGTAAAAATGTTTCCTTAATTTTTCTTTTGTTTTTCCCGGCGCTTTTGAAAACTACTGGGAAATTTAAATTTTGACCTCCTCAATGCACCAACGATATTCACCTTCCAATCGAACAAGATACTGAAGACGAAAATCGAAGCATTATTTCGACTACTTAAAGTGTACACAGACACAAAAAAAATTAAAAAAAATTAAAAAACACACATCATTGTAAAATCAATACATTCATCGTTCCACTCCGAATCTAAAATAACATTAACATAATATTATGGGGAAATCCGATAATATAATAATTAATATAAAAATAAAACAATATTTGACGATCTTTGGTTTTTATTCATTTTAGTACATTTCTGCGTATTTTATATTCGTGGTACAACGGCAGGTTCTTTACGCTGTTTTTGGGGTTTTACGTTTAATTGAATGAAATCAGTTTTCACGTTGCTGTATGGGATCTTATCGATTATGCGGCGCTGGCAGTCCCGGGTTCGATTCTCGACCACCGGGCGGCATTTTTCTCCGGGCAAGTCACGGTGTCCGGAAAACAAGTGCCACCATCCCCCACTCCTGGGCATGGCAGAAACCTACGAGTGCCCCATTCGAAATTCTGCCAAAATTAACCCACGTGTAACACTCCTACCATTATACCTTTCTAAAAAAACCTACAGTACCAACCCCCCTCCCAATTGACTAAGTTGCCGCGGGATAACTAAAAAAAAAAAAAAAATCTTTCATTTAGTTAATGTTTACCACGATTGGTGATCTGTTGTACTCTTACGTTTTATTATTTTGTCGACTGCTTGGTTTAGCTCTACTTTAAATTCACAACGACCAGTAAATCCAGATGAAGTTGTATCAAAGTTTGCATCAGTATCAATAAGAATGGACTTTATTTTATAGATAACTAATTTATTAATTTTTATTTTATTTTTGACTAAACAAATTTACATGAAATATTAAATTTTTTTTTATTAACACTGTATATATTTACATTTATTTGAATTATATCGTTCAAGTATTGAAGTTTAACTTTAAAACTTTATGGTTAAACTAAACCATCCCCAAAAAGAAATCCTGGGCACGCCCCTGTGTGTACCATGTACAAAGAACCAAAAACAATTAAATAGGTAATATATTTTCACTTATATTATTTGTATATTGTCGATTATAATTACGTAGGCATAGGTAACACATTAAGCAGCGATCCGGCCTTGACCGCGAACCCATTTTAAACAACAGGTATTTATCATGATAGTTTAATCCTTTACAATTCGGGCTTGCATATAGTTTGAGACAGCCGGTATATCATACCTACATATATTATAGATATTATTATAGACATAATGATTCGCCGACGGCCTAAGGCTTTTATTGATATCGGTACAACTAGGTACGTTTATATTACTGCATGTGACGAGTATATTCTTTGTATATAATACTAGTTTATAATCTTTGTTATAATTATATGTCAAAACTATTGGATTTACACACGTCTAGTGTTTTATTTACGTAATTTCGCAGTAAAAGAAGTTAAGTAATGTAAAAAAACTGGAAATTTGAATCCAATTTAGTGCGACTTGAAAATATTTTTTTGGTCGTCTCGATGGTTATTTGTAATTTCATAAAAATTTAAATGTTTATATATTTTCTTTTATGTATACCAACAGTTTCTTTTAACTAAATAAACGTGAAAATACTTATGTATTATATACTCTGAAACGGCTAATCTCAGAAACTACGAGATCGATTTGGCTGATTCTTGTTTTATTGTGTTCGAAATTGTCAGTACAAGGTTAGTATGAAAAACAATATTTTAGAACAATACACCGGAAAAGCAGAAAATCTGAAAGCCAAAAATACAACAGGTGTTTATTGTAAGGTTGCTATTGGTTAAAGTTGAATATAATTTTAGACCTATATATTATACTTTATTCAAAACCATACTATAACTTAGTAAAAATGGTATTCCTAACGCCAACTTTTCGACCGTTGTCCCGGGAAAATACACATGCACATCATAAACAACGAGTTAATTAAACATTCGTTATTAAGTGTGAACTTCGATGCGCAATTAACAGGTGGATTGCCTACCTGACAATATACTGACCGCAAAATCACAAGCATCTCTCACGGGAAACGCCGGCGGGATATGGCTATATAATATAATATAATCGAATGTGTTGACTGACTGATCCTGAAATAATTATAGCTCGAAGCTTGAAATTTTCAGGGTACCTATTATATTATATTAATCTCATAAGTCTAAGATATTTTTTGGCAAGATATTATTGACGGTAATAGGGAGGTGTATGGTGATACACAAATATTTTACACTCGGGTGAAGCTGCATGGTAATTCAGATAGTAAAATATAAAATATAAACACCTATAATAGGTACTCGTATGACGAATATAATATGAGGGGTTGTTAATTATTATTGATTAAAAATTAACTAATGTAATCAGAAATATAGATGTGTAAAAATCATATAAAAGTCGAAGATTTAAACACTTTACGAATCTCAAGGAATATGTGCAGTGCAAACTGCAAAATATTGTGCCGATTGGATAAGTGGTTCCAGTGATTAGAGGCGACTAACAAACGTAAGTACAATCATTTATATTATGTATAAAAAATTATTACAATGGTGTATAAGCAAGTATAATATAATTTTAATAATGAAATACATGTGATGTCTGGTTTGCATCGTTGTCATAGCCAACCGAAGTAAATAATAATAGTACAGTAATATTTGATATAAATTTATCGATTTTAAAGATTCTAGTTTGAGTTTTTATTTCAATAGTTTTCACAAAAAGATATTATTATTTTAACGAGTTTGAAGTTTCTTATTCACATTTTAATTGAAATAGAGGATACAGACAGTATGAAAATTTACCAGCAGCCAAGGAAGCGGCAAATTTATAAGCCCCTCACAAAAATATGTCCTGGTAAAGTCGTGGATGGTTGGGGAAGATCTACATACAGGTATGATCCAATAAACATTATTAAGTAATGCATAGGGCTAGTATAAATCCTTATAATATTAAATATTAAATAAGAGTTAAATTCAATGCGAGCTTTGGGTAGGTACCATATTATTTTCTCTTATAATTGTTTTTATAATTCATTCAATTTAATTTAAAACATTTAACAAAACTTAAAAACTGCTATGAAGTATGGATTAAATTATATAATATGGTATACGACTATCAGAGGCGTGCCTAATACGTACTACTAACTACGTATCCACGTTTCAGTCAATCGTACAAGCAGCCCGGACCTGCAGATCGGAGCTGCAAACCCACTATGGCACCGATAGAGGGCCTCTGGCCCAGGCTGGACAGTTGCAGCGAACAGTTCAAACGGATGACCGTGCACCGGGCCAGTTTTCGCGAGTGGACCGGACGCTGCCGGCGGTGCAATGCGATAACGAGCTCGTGGGTGGCTCTCAGGAACCCGTGCAGAACGTGACGTCGCAGAGACATGACTTCGTGGCCAAGTGTCTGCCTGAGGCCGAACGGCAGCGGTCCACCGGGTCGGAGGAGACCATAGGCACTAACTGCGGCAGTGGAGCTTGCGCAATGACGGGCAACACCACCACGGTTCGGGATTCCGTGTACTAATGGACGACGGCCACTGGCGCGGCCGTCCACCTCCACTTGGTCGCAGGGCCTAAACTTGCTGATGGCCAAAGAGACGGAGACCAGTTCGATTTACCAGCAGTGGGGCCCTCTGGAGTTGCTCCGGCCATGGTCGCTGGCCGCGTACTGCCGGTCGGGAGAGCCCGTCAACGGACAAACCGTGTACAAGGTCAGTTACCACTTACCGGCAACCCGGCTAGTTCCGCGACCCGTTGCCCGGGGAACAACCCCAGACCATTGGGTACAGAAACGATGATAAGTCCGCCGTGGATGAGGCTGACACCAGCCAACCGTTTACCCCAGAGCGCACGATTACAATTTGTATAGATTATTGTAAATATAATATATAAAATTGTAATCGTGCGCTCCGGGGTAAAACGGTTGGCTGGTGACACGGTACGACCGTTGACGGGCTCTCCCGACCAGCAGTACGCGGGCAGCGTCCGGTCCACGCACGGCCCCTCACAAAAATATGTCTTGGTAAAGTCGTGAATGGTTAGGAAAGATCTACATACAGGTATGATCTAATAAACATTATTAAGTAATGCATAGGGCTATAAATCCTTATAATATAAAATATAAAATAATATTAAATAAGAGTTAAATTCAATCCGAGCTTTGGGTAGATAACCGTGCACCGTGCCAGTTTTCGCGAGTGGCCGTGCGCGGACCGGATGCTGCCCGCTGTGCAATACTATACTGTAGGTTACAAGTGGGTCACTGTATAATGGATGGTATTAAATTTGAATGCAATGATATAATATATGTCAGTCTAGGTATAAGACATATACTTTTCTATGGTATTAAATTATATGAAATATATGAATTAATTTCTTAAAATATGCACAGTCTTATAATGGGCATAATTCTTTTTTCCTTATACTATGGTAGATTGTATGGATAGGCCATTTTGATTTTTAGTTTCATATATCCCCGAATAATATTTTTAATTTACAACAAAAACAAAGATCGTTAATATTGATTTTAATATGTGATTTCGTCCAAATTTGAATTTAAAATGTCTGTAAAAAATAACTGTGTTCATATATTTTTTAGATTTTTTGGTTAAAAATTCATTTTTTTTTTAATTTAAAAATTAAAAAAAAAAAAGGTGGGCAAGTGGGTGTCGCTCAGCTGTACAGTATGTTACAAGTGGGTCATTGTATAATGGATGATATTAAATTTTAATTCAATGATATAATATCATTGTATAAGAAAAATGATTCTGAGAGTGGACGGTATGTCAGTCTAGGTATAAGACATATTATATACATATCTATGGTACTAAATACAAATTTGACCTATAATAGATACCTATAATAAATTCCAAATTAATCATATCACAATATCCATTAGGTACTTATACATCAACAACAAACCGTGATACTATCATAAATATATAATAGTACACTTTAGAAGTTTCAAGTACCCACGAATAATATTATACAATCACAACAAAATAACTAAAATAGTTATTTTAGGTTTTTTAATATGTAAGTTTGTCCAAATATGAATTTAAAATGACTATAAAAATAAACTGTGTTTATATATTTTCTAGAATTTGTTGGTAACAGAATTAACTGCTTACGTGAAAACTACTGAGAAATTTTTACTTTTGACCCCCCAAAGTACCAACAAGATTCACTTTCCTATCAGAAAAGCTACTGTTGAAGAAAATCCAAGCACTTTTACTGTCCGAAAACGTGATGACAGACACAAAAAAAAATTAAAAAATTAAAAAAAAAACACATATCATTGTAAAATCAATACATTCATCGTTTCACTCAGAATCTAAAACATACATCATTGTAAAATCAATACATTCATCGTTCCACTCAGAATCTAAAATACGGAAATAGTTTAAAGGTGAACAGTTATGAACTGAGCTTAGGCTAAACGTTTTTTTCTTTTCGTTAAGTTACAAGGGTTTTTATAAAACATCTTATCGTTGATAATCGTATTAATTGCTTGGTAATTCAGTAATGATATAAAATAATATCCACGTTTCAGTCAATCGTACAAGCAGCCCGGACCTGCAGATAGGAGCTGCAAACCCACGATGGCACCGATAGAGGGCCTCTGGCCCAGGCTGGACAGTTGCAGCGAACAGTTCAACCGGATGACCGTGCACCGGGCCAGTTTTCGCGAGTGGCCGTGCTCGGACCGGACGCTGCCCGAGGTGCAATGCGATCACAAGCTCGTGGGTGGCTCTCAGGAACCCGTGCAGAACGTGACGTGGCAGAAACATGACTTCGTGGCCAAGTGTCTGCCTGAGGCCGAACGGCAGCGGTCCACCGGGTCGGAGGACGGGAGGAGACCATAGGCATCAACTGCGGCAATGGAGCTTGGCGCGGCCGTCCACCTCCACTTGGTCGCAGGGCCTAAACTTGCTGATGGCCAAAGAGACGGAGACCAGTTTGATTTACCAGCAGTGGGGCACTCTGGAGTTGCCCCGGCTACGGTCGCTGGCTGCGTATTGCCGGTCAGGAGAGCCCGTCAACGGACGCACCGTGTACAAGGTCAGTACCGGCCACCCGTCTCGTTCCGTACACTTTTTGGCCCATCAGATAAAACTTTATTGATATTTATAGAAAAAAAAACTAAAAAATTGAAAACTGAAAATATCCGTAAACGGCTCAAAAAGGGTCAAATATTTTCAAAATTTTACAGTGTATAGGAAATGCTAATCTGAACATTCAGTGAAATTTTCATGTACCTATAGTTATTCGTTTTGAATTACAACAAAATAAGAAAATCGCTACATGAGAAAACAAGTGAATATCCAATGTTGTAAAAATTTGAATTTCAAACGCTCATAAAAATTTATTTTGACTTTCTTATAGAATTTTTTTTTTGATAAATGTAGGAAATCTTATAAGGAATCTTGTATTACATTTTCATCTTAGATTTAAAATAAAAATTTTTAAGAATTTCTAACTAGAAATAATTTGCAAATTTTCGTGATTTTTTCATATTTTGTCATTTTTTGAACTTTAAATGCTTAAAAAAAAAACTGTGATTAATTTTTTTTAATATTTTTCATCAGTCTTTGAAACAATATAGTAGGAGCCTTGTATTAAATTTTCAAGTATTTTTACTCAACAAATAAATTTTTATTGATATTCATAAAAAAAAAACTAATAAAATTGGAAACTGAAAATGTCCCTAAACAGTTCAAAATAAATCAAAATATTTTGAAAATGTTATCGTGTATAGAAAATGCAAATATAAACAACCACTGAAAATTTCATGTATCTACGGTCATTCATTTACACCAAAAACCAAAATCAATTTTCTAGAAAACATTTTTCCTTCATTTTTGTTTTGTTTTTCCCGGCGCTTTTGAAAACTACTGGGAAATTTAAATTTTGACCTTTCCAATGCACCAACGATATTCACTTTCCAATCGAACAATATTATACTGAAGTTGAAAATCGAAGCATTATTTCGACTACTTATCGTGTAGGCTAAACGTTTTTCTCTTTTCGTTAAGTTACAAGGGTTTTTATAAAACATCTTATCGTTGATAATCGTATTAATTGCATGGTAATTCAGTTATGATATAAAATAATTAATGTAACCTATTTGATGACATCTATTATTCTCATATATTTTAAATGTCACCGTTTTGATAAATTTTGGTTTTTTTAAATCTAAATACTATATTATGATAAAATGAAATGTCATGTATGATTTAAACCTTATTAAATTTATAAAAATAACTAATATTAATTAAATATTATAATTTGAAAAAAATCGTTTCGATAATTATTTGTCCACTCATTTCGTATCGTTATTGAAGCTTTCTATATATTTATTTGACAACTATCATTATGGTACTTCTATGCAATCGCTTCAATAACTATAAAAACTAATGCCGAGTTCAATGAAAAATTAATTAATTAAAAGAACGTCGTGCCCGCATGTGTTACACACGGACGACATATCAAATTTTCATTATGTGCTGTTAGTTTGGATATTAGAGTAAATCGACCTATAATCAAAGTTTTAGGCAACAACATCGTCTGTATTCCCTCGTTGGCTTATATACTCATAACTATTGCTGGGATTTATATGTAATAAAAAACCAAAAATATGTACATATATATGTAATTAAAATTGCCAAAAAATGTAGTATAAAATAAAAAATAAGTTGTATAAAATAAAAATTATGTTCCAAGAAAAATTTAAAAAATACAATTCTAAATAACACTTATATCACATGCATTGCGACCTGACAAAGTATGTAGTGACGAAATATGTAAAAATATGTAAAATAAAATATTTCTTATTTTATTGCAAAACACGTGAAACGAATTTATCATTTGCAATAATTAATTTATCGTGTTTCAGTAAAATATGTATTTACATACAAATCCCAGCCCTACTCGTAACTCATTTAAAAATTAAAATATGGTATCAAAACAACGACGGAACACAGATAATGTTGATACTTAAAAACTATGATTAAAATGTTAAAATGATTTTATATTATAGTCTGTTAATGTAAAATGCACTTCAAAATAACAAACATTCAATATTGGAAAATTTCAGATCTTATTTTTATAAAACAGATTTTTTCTGAATTTTGATGTACTTTTTTGACTAAATGTTTAGATATTTTAGAATACCTCTACTTTTTTGGAACTAAGGCCTATATGGTGGAACTTTATTGAGGATATAGGTATTAGGTACCCCCTTTTTTTTAAAACAAATCCGAGATTTTGTAAGTATTGATTATAATCATTTAATATCATTATTGTTGGTTATTAATATTGTCTATCAACTTAAATAATTAGAATTACCTTAGTAAAAAGTCTATATTAAATCTTCAATATTGGTCTAAAAAATAGTAAAAATAATATAGGAGCCACTATATTATAGCCAGACGGTCACTAACCTCTTTGAGAATAGATACTGAAAATTGCATTTATAATACAGATAATCTAACTTTTATATAGATAATAATATGATGTTAGATAAACTAATTTGTATTTGTAACTACCTATATAATGTAGTGTATAAGTAATATATTCACACTGCAAACGCTAACTATACATTTTTTTTATTATAATACAGCATATAATATGTCTTGTGTAGTGTAGACGGGTATACACAGTTGGTCGTTGATTTATATTACGCCTATGTACCATTGTACGTACATCGTATCATTATACTTATTATTATTTAATATTTACCTTTAACTTCTGTATATCTGTATACTTCAACACTAACTAATAACTAATTAGTAGATGTCGGGTGTTTATGACTTAGCATATTTTTTCACTTAACCGGAGGTGTACACCAGAGAATCAATTTGGTTCATGAGGTCTAAATAATAAATAGGCAAACTTATTTTGCATATTTCTGAAAATTTGACATATTTTAGCATATAAATGCATATATGGATCATTTCTATATTTTGTATCATATATAATATATAATAATTTAAAAATGATATAAAATATTTTCACTGATTTCATCAAATAATTAATAATAAACACAATATTATATAATTATTATGATTTCAAACATACGTTATTAGAACTGAAGGGAATATTAATTAGATCTTTATTATTATGTGACGGTGTGATATATTTCGCGCACGTTTATTGTGTGACCAACCAGTCGGCTAGGTAGGTTGTGTGAATTGGTGGTGTAGAGGCAATGACTCGGTGCCTTTTTCGAATATAATAATAATACTTATTTTAAATATCAATAAAAACTTTATAGTTATAGTATAGTTAGAAATAATTACCTAACCCGTTAAATGTATAAACATAATATGTTTTATTATACCTATATGAATATTTTATACCTAAATTTATCTCGAAAACGATATCCAATAAATCATAACTTAAGCCTCTAATTATGTAATCAAAAGATTGTTATTATACTTACAAAATGATTGTTTTAATTTTTCATACAATCATGAATTATAATTTATATTATATAATTATAATTATAAATAATCTTATTTGTGATCAATGGTAGTGGGTAAAATGTAGAATACATACATTTAAAATAATATAGGTATCGACGCATTTGTGTTTTCAGTGACAACGAAGACGAAGATACATTTTGAAAGTCTGGGCAAGTTAATGATTTTTTTTACTGAGTTAAGTTAAGTTAATATGCACCAATAACAAAAAGTTAAGAATTAAAAGTTAATTTAACTATAGGTTAACTCAGTTAAGTTAAAAGTTAATACACACTTTTTGTTAACTTTTTATTAAGTTAAAAAAAGTTAATATGTTTATACAACGCTAATACTCAATTTTAATGTATTATCATTATTTTACTTTAATTCCTGATTCATGACTTATGAGTAATACCTAATTTCATAGAATTCAATAATTTACTTAATAAATATTTGCATGTATAGGTTTTTGTTGGTTTGTGTTAATAAAATTATAAAATGTATAACTTTTTGACTTTAAAACTTTAATGTAGTAATATTTTACAAGGTTATTCATACAAGCCTAATAGTTATTTTCTACTAATTTGTTTAAACATTGGTCGCATTAATTAATAGTGTATACCAATACCTTTAGAAGACGATTGAATCTCTGGCGTGAACCAAAATTCTGCAAGTAAAATGGCAGTCATAATTATATTGTATTGAGAGTATACACTTGTTGATAAACTTAATAGTGTATACCAATACCTTTAGAAGACGATTGGACTCATTTAAACCTCTGGCGTGGACCAACATTTTGCAAGTAAAATGGCAGTCATAATTATTTTGTATTGAGAGTATACACTTGTTGAAAATAAAAGTATGCGAGTGTTTTAAACAAATAGTTGGTACCTATAATGATATAACTTTTTAACAACTTTTTAAAGAACTGTAGTTATATTTTACAAGGTTATTTGCACAAAACCAACTATTTTTAACCAATTTGAGCATATGAATACTTTTTTAAGTAATTTGTTTAAACATTAGTCTCATTTAATAATGTAATAAATAGTATAGCGAAATAGTAAATAGTAAATATACATATAATTTATTATTCGATTGAACCTCTTGTACGAACAATGTTCACTAAGTTTAAATTGTGAAGTATATTTTTATTAGGCATTTATTAAACTGCTGACTTTCATAAATTCTATATTTCTTTAGATAGCTACCTATATTGGATATTAACGAATAATGAATTTGCTTTTAAATTTAGTTTATCATACATAACTTGATAGCTCAATCATTGTAGTATAATAAAATTTACTAAATTACGACAATAATGTATCAATTTATCAGTGAATATTGATCCTTACATATCAAAATTGTACACAGTTCAAATGTATGCACAATTATTATTTATT